AAGAAAGAATCTTCAAAACTTAAGGTTAACCCTATACGATATTACGATATGCGATATACGATATACGATAACAAAGGAAAGTCCAAGAAGATTCCGTGGAATGTGGAATCTACTAGGTCCTACTTGGAATATCTAGTAGGGACGAGCACAATGTACAAATATAATCACGTGATACACAATGTCAATTGCAATGTTGGTGTTCCAAGGTCACCGTAGACGTCATACTGACATGAACAATCCACCAGATCCTCTGATAAGGGTTATTACCACCTGGCCTGGTCACGTGGGTTACTTGAGCATGCTGAGCTTATCGAGCATCTTTCCCCGTGCTCTTCTCATCCACTCCCAGGACCACTGGTGGACTGTAACACCACCCACAACATCTTTAAAGAATAAAGAATATCCATCACCGAGTTACCCCAAAATCAATCACTTCATACCGCGGGCACAAAATGAATACCCATGAAAGAGAACGGATTTCGCATCCTCGCCATCTGAGTGATCGATTGACTATTCAAAAACCTCTATCAAGAAGAGGTAGAGGTCCAGGATTGTTGATTCTAACACCAGAGAGTTACACTTCACCCATTGATCGAAAAACACTTGATCCAGAGCCATTTCAAAAATGGGCCGAAGAAAGTTTTGTGGTGGTGAATGTTACAATTCCTGAGCGTGCATTGAAAGCTGGTGAAGTTGATTTGCAAGCTTACCTGGAGTCGGGTATACAAGCTCTAAAATCTGCACCAGAATGTACTGATTCTGATAAATTGGGACTCATTTGTATGTTTCTACATTGATTTTTGTCCATTACAATGTACAAATCATGTACGTTGTGTAGCTGACAATATGTTTTCTCATTTAGTCTATGTTGAAAACTTGGATGAATACATACACACTGATTCCATCTTGAATTTGTTACTTGGAGGAGTATTCTCCGTTGCAATTTTCTTCACTAATGATTCCAAAAAATTGACTGAAAAACTTACGCATAAAAATATACCTCCATTGATGGTTCATAGCTCCTTAGCCTTACAAGGTCCTCAACTGAGAGCTGAAGATATTTCTCATGTATACGCTACAACAAAGTCGACAAACTTTATCCTCCCTAGTCATGATCACTACGATCCAGGGACTGCGGGTGTAGCACATACGAGAAGTCTTGGTTTCATCAAAAAACACCTGGGTGGACCTATCTTTGACCTTGAAGCTATTTGGGATGAGCATACACTTTATGAATTTGGTGAACGGAATGTTGGGAAAACAATGGGTACTATGGTTGATCAACCATATGTAAATCATATTCCAACAGTACGTGATCTGGCGAATGCTTGATCTTTATGCTAATATCTTTTCCGAGATGACTGGTGGAATTGGAAGGGGACCTCTAACAGACTTTTACACTAATCACTTTATCTTCAATAATCCAGAAGATACGAAGCTCGAACTTGTTAGTCGAACTGTTGGTGTTGATCGAGTTATTGATGAATTCGTTTTCAGTTTCACGCACGATAGAGTGATAGATTGGATGTGAGTATCATTCAAAATGTGTAATGAACTTTTAATTAACATTCTGATAGTCTCCCTGGAGTTCCGCCAACTCACAAATATGCACGAATTCCTTTCACTTCTGTGGTGAATGTTCGTGGTGATCGTTTGTATCATGAACACATTGCCTGGGACCAAGCCACAGCTCTCCGTCAGCTCGGCCTCTTACCTGAGTATCTTCCATTCCCATATCCTCTTCCAGATGGTCGATTGCCTGCCAGGGGAAAGCGATTCGAATATCGAGTTCCAACTGCTGGGGTGGAAACTGCTCAGAAATTGATCGATGAGAGTAGTGTGGCGAGTAATGGATTATTTGGATTTGACATTCGAGAAGTAGATGATATATGAAGAGGATCGTCTTCCAACTTGACACCAAAAATCTATTTTGGACGCCATTCAGGTCGCAATATAGTTGAGCGGTACACCGCAATGGATCACGTCTATTGAATTACTATGCAGCTTGAAAACCGATGCCTGATCGCAAGTTGCCTCATCGGACTTCAAACATTTGAAGGTTTGTTATTGGACGTTCTTCTTCTTGACACGATGTTGCCCCAGGATTCATCCCCCCCCCAACTCAGATAACACTCGCCTATAAACTGATAACATGCTGGAGCGAGTTCTGGAACCTCGTACAAACCCGTGTAATTGGTCTTCCTCGTGAGAACTATCAACGTCGTACTTTTATTATACAGTGCATAGGCTACGATTTACAAATAATTCTTCTCTTAGCGACGGGCCATCAGGTGCACTAGTGAAATATAATCGTTTCTATTGTTTCTGTTGGCAGAACGCTGTTTTATTATTTCCTTTGTCCTGTTCGGAGGATTGATACTTCAATTTTGTTTTCTTCCACCAATTCCAGTTGATTTTACAGCATGCAATTGATCGTACCGGTGCTTTGCCTTCCCTAGATCCCATTATCTGTTGATTTCTTCAGTCTTTTTTCATTTCTTCAATGTCACAGGAACTTTACCGCGGTAGAAAATACAAACAAAATCACCTCTCTTCGCAAATCTAAACGCCCACTATATATGATTCCTTTTTGGGCGTAGAAGAGCTCGATTCTAGATCACAAATTCTTAGATTTCAAAGAAATCTGACACGGTGGCGCATCTATCGTGGTTGATAAGTTCGCTTGTGTTTATGTCTTCTCATAAACTCTTGTCGAAGAGCATAATCAAGCTCTTTGGTTAAACACCTACTGGCGCATCACGTCTATTGGGACCTCGATTGGCGAAAATCTTCCGCGAGAAATTCTCTGATGGTTTAGTTCTTGACCGGATATCTGCATATGGGTTGGATGCTATTTGGCTTGGTACTTTTGCTTATGGTTCACTTGCAATCTTAAGCTGAGATGGTATGGATGGGATGGGACACTGAAACTTAATGTTGATCGCGGCTTAACGTTCCTCGAAAGGGTCAGGTTTTCGAGTAATTGCGATTAATTATCAACCTATGCAGGTGTTCTTGATATCAAGACAATCGATCCCATATCCGGGATATTTTGAGTCATCTCAAGATTGACTTCCCTCGTCACCATTGAGTGGTGCTCATGACTAGGTATTTGTTTGAATTTGAAACACTCTTATTAGCAAATTGATATCAAGTAAGAGTTATTGATACCAAGAATCATTTACTCTAAACAAACCACCGAGTTGAATAATGGTTCACGAGAAAGCATAGAAGATTCTCCAATTTGAGCGCTCGTAAAGAGGAACTTCAAAGGTGGGAATTGACCGATATTTCTGTATTTAAGCATTTGATATTCATAGACTCAGATAAGTTTGATAGGTTGGATTTATGATTGATGAATTTCCTATTTCCATTCAGCTCTCGTATCATTTCCAAGTCACTCTATGAACAATTTTATAATCATATATGTGCTCCTCTTTTCCATTCATTCTGACTACCCTCTCTTTTGAACAACACACTAGAAGCTTCAAATCTCAAGAACAACAAACTACAAATCACCACACGACATCCATTATCAAAGCACTTCAGCCCCACACCTCCTCATACTCGTACCAAATCACAAATCTACCACCAATAAGATAAAATCAATTCATCCAACACACCCGCATCTCAAAATTCCCCAATCTCAACTCCAACCCATCACAAAATACAAACTCACATTATCAACACCTCGCATCACATCACATAGCCATGCACACTCATTCCATCACCATCTTCTTCGCCACCATTCTCCTCATCCTCGTTTCCCTCCATACAGTAAATGCGCTTTCAACAGGCGGTTTCCAAGTAGTAGACAGCTGTCAGAAACATGATTCGTGCGCGGAAGAACAGGGAAACTCGAGGCGCTGGAGTGTGAGATTTAGGCGTCGGGGGGAATTGGAGGTTGGAGGGGGATGGTGTGAAGGTGTGAATGGAAACGGGTGTAAGAGGGGAGGGAGAGGGAGGAAATGGGTATCTAGGGGTGGGAGGATTAGGAATTTGGATTGGGGGTCGGGGTTAAAGGGAGGTATTATTAGTGGACTGTTTGAAGTTTCAACAGTCTTTTTGGGATATAATGTGCTATATGGTGAATTCCCTAACTCTTTCTTCTATTCTGAATATTCTGGGGTGGATTGCTTATTCGCTCTTTTGTATGATTCTATTCCATGTATCTCTCACTCAAATGAGCATATCACTCATTACCCTCCAGAAAATTTCTTCATGAATCCCTTACCTTTACCTGGTCCCGCACAACCAGGAGCATGCAGAATCTCTAAATCACAATAGCAGAAAAAATGAAGGATAGAAGATGTTTAAGAGATAGCAGTTACATAGTAGGAGATATAAACTAAAGCTCAAATCCCACATCAACACATATTGTTCATACCGACAGTATGTATATATCGAAGAGTCACACCGGTTATCTTCGTGTTCCAGTAGGTATACGGACATACATACCTCTTATGTGATCCTAGTGTACAAGGAATCTCTGACTGACTATTTTTTTACGTTCTGTTACTCAGTTCGTTCAAATGAAACTATAGAATCTATCCATATCGAACTCCACGTGAAAATGTAAATGTAAATGAAAACCTCAGATTCGAAAATAAATACCTCGCTACCTCGCACTGATTACACTACACCACTTATATTACTACTCACTAGACATTTATAAGCTTCTATCGGGGATACCAAAACCAATCTAGTAGAGGGGCAATGAATGGTGTGTGCGTCGCGGGGCAAACTCACAACCCAGACCAGATCAGAAAAAAAAAAGATTATCAAGCATTTTCGAAGTCGGAAGAAAATCAGATCTGACAATACCTAAATAATTTCGAAGGATTTGTTATTACAATTTGGAGAGAAGTTTAACGATATTGGGTTTTACGTTTACTTTTACTTCTTATTCTTATTTTCTTTACTCTTTAGAAAATCGAATATACAAATAAAGAAAGAAAGAAAGAAAGAAAGAAAGAAAGAAAGAGAGAAATAAACCCACCATGTCTTCCTCCCACCCCCCCCAAGACAATGACCGCATCAACGAAGACGAAAACGAAATGTTCGACCCCGCCGACGCCGCCGAAGAAATCATCGACATAGACGGCGACGCAGCCATGGATTCCGGCGACGAAGATGCCGATAACGACGGCGACGCCGACGATCAAGAAATGCAAGAACAAGAAATCCAATTGCAAAACGATTCTTCCGCTCACATGGACGCCCACGGCGACTCCATCTTCTGCATCGCGCAGCATCCTCTGCGTCCCGAACTCATCGCTACAGGTGGCTCCGATGGCGATGCAGATAATGCGCCTGGTGTGGGATATATATTCGATGCGACGCCTGCGCCTTCCCCGGTGTTACCCGCGAGTTACCAGAGTAATCCCTCGGAGCGAGTGGAGCGGGGAAGTCAGGAGCCGATATTCAAATTAGAAGGACATACTGATTCGATCAACGCGCTTGCATTTTCGCAGCCGGATGGGAAATTTCTAGTTTCTGGGGGTTTGGATGGGAAAATACAAGTCTATGTTACGAATGGCAGTAAATGGAAGAAATACACCGAGGCCCGGGAAGTGGAGGAGGTAAATTGGATACTTGCGTGTCCGTATGCGAAAGCACCGAATACGTTTGCGTTTGGAGCGAATGATGGATCGGTCTGGGTGTATACTATTGATCCGAGTCAGAAGAAGGCACCGCTGCAATTGATGCAGAGCTATTTTGCGCATACGGAGAGTTGTACTGCGGGAGCCTGGTCGGCCGATGGGAAGCTGTTGGCGAGTGTGAGTGAGGATGGGTCGTTGTATGTGTGGGATGTTTTTGGGGAGGCGGCGGCGGCAGGATTGACTGGAGAAGGTGGACAAACGGTGGTGGGACTCACGGCGTTGGACCAACGGTTTGCGGTTGAGGGGGGACTCTTCAGCGTGGGGATTGCGCCGACCGGCGCGTTTGTGGCGGCGGGTGGTGCAGGTGGCTCGATCAAAATCGTGGGTTTACCACGCTTACCCGATGCTTTGGGGGCGGGCGCCAGTCCCGGTCAATCTGGACAGATTCTCGCGGATTTACAGGCTCAGGGTGATGGAATCGAATCGATTGCGTTTGCGCAACCCCCTCTAACACTCATGGCCGCCGCAAGCGTAGATGGAAGTATTGCGCTCTTCGACTCGGCGCACAGATTCGCAGTGCGTAGGCATATTAAAGAAGCGCACGAGGAGCACGCAGTAGTAAAAGTAGAGTTTGTGAAGAATCCACAATCGGGAGGATGGTTATTGACCAGTTGCGGAATGGATGGAGTAGTGAGACGGTGGGATGCGAGGGGTGGAACGGGAATTGCGAATTCGGGGCTGGTGGGGGAGTGGAAGGGTCATAGGGGGGATGGCGTGGGGGTCATGGGGTTTGTCCAGGGTGATGGGAATAGAATTGTTACGGCGGGTGATGATGGGATTAGTTTGGTTTTTGAATCGCCTATTTAGGGGTCGGGAGTGCGTGGATGAGGGATGAGGGATGAATGGATGAATGGATGAATGGCATGGTTGGCCGAGGAGTTTTTATTATTACATGAAGTATCGAATTCGTGGACAATAGACATTTTCATTTACAAACAAGCTAGCAAGCGATTATTTACAAATCTCAAAAAAAAAAAAAACTGTCAAAGACAAGTAGAAGAAATCACATCGCCATATGTGCAGACTACTGTATTGCTCATTTGATAAAATCCAATCTAGTCCAGTGCAATTCAATCCAAAAATACATGCGTGAGTAGGTAGGTAACTTTCAGCACAACATCACTATCGAAGACCGTACTACAATCTTCAATAACGCTGATCTCTCCACCACACCCACTCTCCCCTCCCCACCCCCACCTCAAAACCTACAACTTCGCCCCCTTCCCCCTCCTAGCCTCCTTCTCCCTATCCCTCAACAACCTCCTCAAAATCTTTCCACTCGGACTCTTCGGAATCACATCAATAAACTCCACGCCTCCTTTCAACCACTTATGTCTCGCCTTATGCGTCTCGACCCATTTACAGATATCTCTTTTGACGAGCGCGTCATTTTCTTCAATCCCAACCGATGTGGATTTCACCACGTAGGCTTTGGGGATTTCGCCGGCGGAGGGGTCAGGGATGGGGATGACGGCGCAGTCGGCGATGGAGGGGTGCGCGAGGAGGTGGGATTCGAGTTCGGCGGGGGCGACTTGGAGACCCTAAAGATGTTAGATGGGGGGGTTTGAGGGAGGGGGCATGGGGATGGATTGTTTACCTTTACTTTAATAAGTTCCTTAATCCTATCCACGATAAAAACATGTTCATTTCCCGCTGGACTGACACGTATCTCCGCTTCATCACCCGTGCGCATCCATCTACCATTTCCATCTGTATCTGGGAGAAACGTCTCGTGATTCGCTTTTTCATTGTTGAGATAGCCGAGCACGACGGATTTGGATTGCACGACTAATTCACCGGGTTGGTTGAGACTCGTAATTTCGATACCTTCGGGATTGACTAGTTTGGCACGCACACCGGGGATGAGGGAGCCGCAGGAGCCGAGCCAGAGATCTTTGGCCGAGGACATACAGATTACGGTGGAGGTTTCGGTTAGGCCTGGGGGGGGATGTTAGATTTGGGGGGTTCTGATGGGAGGGGTAGGTGTAGTTACCATAGCCTTGTTGAATAACCCATTTAGGATAGATTTTTTGAAGCTCTTCTGCGGTTTCTGTACCGAGAGGTGCGGCTCCGGTGAAGAGACCTCGCACGGAACTGACATCATATTTGGAGCAGATGGATTGATTGTTTACAAGTTGGATAATGATGGGAGGGACCTAATATTATGAGATTTTGATTTGCGATGTATTCCACGTGGAGAATACTTACAAGGAAGAGAGTTTGAATTTTATAGGTTTGGATGCTGTTTAGGAATGATTTGAGTTCGAATTTGGGAAGAACAACTATTTCATCACCGCGATAAGTTGTTCCTAGGGCTACGATGACTAAACCATAAATGTGGCTTAGAGGAAGAAGACCCAAGCCGACTTCTGTATCTGTTTCCCATTGATCTCGATAATCTTTCTCGTATGCTTTGAGCTGTAGGATATTTGACATGACATTTTGGTGGCTGATCATGACTCCTTTCTGAGATTTTGTTAGCCATATTTGGGGGATGCACGTTTTTCCGGGATTACTTTGAGAATTGTCTCGATTGATGCAGGGAAATAACTTACGGGTAACCCTGAAGTTCCACTTGAGTAACACAAAAATGCTGTTTGTCGAGCTGCTTGTCCCTTTTCCATTCTCAATGACTCTAATTTTGGGAGCTTTTCTCCTGCGGAAATCAAATCATCTGCAGTTTTGAATGGTACTTTCTTGCCTCCAGTTAACGTCTCTGGCATATCTAAAATATAGATTCTATCATTTTTAATTCCGGCGCCCTTGGCAGCTTGTAAGGCAGTCTCGAGTAAAGGTATACACTATTGTCGAATTAGTTCCATATTTCGGATTCTTGTGACACCTAAAGATCATACCGTAAAAAGTGCTTTAGCCCCTGAAGACTTCAATTGAAATTCCAATTCCGGAGCAGAATATTGAGCATTTGCAGGTGAAGCCACACCACCCAATTCATGAACTGCGTATGCCAATGTCATGAAATCAATCTAGCAAACCATTAGTCCCCCGAATTCGTTTGGATGTTTGAGTATATCTTCCTACAGTATTGAGGGAAAACATTCCCATTACTTTGTCCCATTCTGCTCCCGTATTTGGTTGCCATCCTAATTCTTTTGATAAAGCTCTTGCTAAATGTTCTACCCGTTGAACTTGTTCCGAAGCTGTATATGTTTTTCCTGTGATGCCGCATGTGAATGGATTGCGAGATGATTTGAGAGGTTTTCTGCCATGTTTCTCATTGAGCATGAATTGACTGATTGGTATGTCATCTCGGATATCTGATTGTGAGAATTGTTAGCTATACAATTCTAAGATGAATATAGGCGAGGAAGTCTCATTTTTGGAGTTGAAGTTTACACATACTCAATGGATCATTGGGAACCCATGCTGGAGGTGTAAAAACCATGATGAGGAATTTATTATTTGGTAAGCTCTCAAATAAGTAAGGATGTCTGCGCCGTTGATAGGGAACCTTTGAGCTTGGCAAAAGAAATCAGAAAACTTTTGCAGATGAACGAATCAGAGGTTGGTATATATGAATTGAAGACATACAAGATGAGACAGTAACTGGGTATAAATGCTGACTATTTGCAAACGGAGAGAGAAATTCCAAAGAAAGAAGTTGATATCAATCTATCATGAATGAGTACTAGGTATATGTGCCTAGCAGGTACTTGAAGCTGATGATTCGTTGAAAGCGACGGTACAAACACTGCCACTGTTGTTAAGAAATGCGGGGTTTGGGGAATACTTCGATATAAGTACCAATACCGGTTACTGAACGGGTAACTGACCGAAAACCGAGGCCCCTGAGTGAGCAAGTGAGTGGATATGATCCAGATGATTTTCATTTAAATCTTCCAAATGTTCCTAGATAACACAACTCAAAGTTGTAATTGGAGATACCGCATAATAAACTCGGTAGACTCGGAATCTACCTAGCCGCATGTAGGCTAGCATTTTGTCAATCTCCCCAGTCAAACTTAATGAAATCCGACTTTTTTTTACTTTTCTTTTGGCTTATACAATAATATATATATTTAAAGTAACGTGGTTTAACACCGAGTGCACCATATCACCGAGTGCACCACGAATTTTACATACAAAATACGTCTGTGCGTAACCGTGCACTTTCTTTATTTAATAATATAATTTTTCAAAATTTGAAATTGTAACATTTAATTATATAAATATTATAAAAATTTAATTATTTATTAAAAATTTGAATTAATATAGTAGTTATTATAGGAATAGTTTTTTTGTAACGAAAATCGTGACAATTTCCACTTTTTATAGAATATAATAGAAATTTTTATATAGAAACTTAATACTTTTATAAAAAATATTTTCTTATTAATAAATCTTTTTTGTTTTTTAAAAAATATTGATTAAGTATTAAAATATGAATATTAGGAAAAGGTTAATTTTGGTGTATTTTGAAGTGGTGCATTCGGTGATATGGTGCACTCGGTGTTAAACCACGTTATACAAATCATTAAATCTGTTTTTGAATGATTTGATTTTCAATTTTCTTTTTATATTTTTAATATTTTATTAAGAAAGAGTACTAATATTTCGAATTTTAAAGGAAAATGTTGATTGTGAAATAAATATAATTTATCTAAAAATTGGAATTATATTTCTAGTTATTTTGTAATATTACTATGTAGAGTTGAGGCTTATATATGAGATTACATGTAGTTATTCAGATTCCGAGTCTATTAAGTTTATATAAAACTCAAATATTGTTCTTATAATCATTCTCATACTCGTCGTAAAAGATTACATCGTTTGTATCCTCATACCTAACTCTCTCATCCGACCATATCGAAAATATCAAGAGCAAATACGACAAGCTGCTTAACACCGAAAACTGCTCAGCTCTGAGCTCACGAATGAAATGGAGACCCCAGCTCAAACCCAGGTATTATGGTCAGTGCAATGATCCACAATGATCCATCCAGCTGTACATTAGCGTCGGCAACTGTTCGATATTAAATCAGTTCGTGTTTAAGAAGAACCTAAATTGTGTAGTAGCGGAGGAGGGAAATTTGGTGTTGACGGGTAAAGCGGTATGAAGGTAGATACAAGAGTACTGACACTAGTCACTTCATTGGATTAATCGTATAAATCGGTTATGTAAGAGAGGATAGGGGTTTGAATGGTAATACTATTGATTGTTAGTAGCGTAGCATACTAGATACCTGCCTACCTGATATTCCAGATCTCTAATTTTCCAGTTTGTATGCTCAAACATCACCGCTATAAAAACACTGAATGAGGTTTTTACTCGTTAAGCTAGGAAACAATCAATAGAGGTAGAGATACCTAGTAGTGTGGTAATGCTGACAATATCTGAGGATAATAAAGTTTATGTTTGGGCCATCTAGTACTGATTGAATAATCAAGGAAGGACAGGACGGGACAGGTTGTCATGATAGGTAAGCTTACTTGAAGCTCTGCCAAACACGATATAAATTGGGGGTTCTTCCATGAACTGTGTTTGGCATCGCATTTTAGTAATTATTGATAGAAAACATGTCGATATTTGTGCCTACCTACGTACCTTTTCACAGCTTGATCAAACAAATTACGATGAATAGTACCTTTTATCTGTAATGCGGAGGCTGTCCAGCAATGTTCTGATGGCGAGAATAAGCAAGCTTCTAAAATCATCTTTGCCTTGCTTGTCTATCAATGACTGAAGCAATCAGTCAAGCACAACACAGATATTGGGTATATCTGATATCCAATTCCAGAAAGAATTCAAGGAGTTGGATATTCTTTCTCGGTTCTTTCTTTTATGCATT